GCTGCATTTATGAAGTTGATGTAACTGTACTGGATCCGAGAGCATTTTTTTTAAAATGAAGCCACATGAAGTGACTTCGAGATGCCAGCTTCGAATCTTGACTATCTTAGCATATCCTTCAGCCAAGTCAGAAACGCAGATTTTATTTATTTAATTCATTAAAGAACTTCTTAACCCAGGTAAAACTTCCATGGCCTTCCAAATCAAGGGCACACAGACCACGGGGTGTGTTTATTGCCTTTTTAAAGAGAAATTAACATAGAAAAGAACTAAAGACCAGAAGGCAGAAAAGATTTCTTTTTGACATTGACACAATACTTGCAAATAATGCTGGGACACACACACACACACACACACAGAATGACTCTGAGAACAAGAACTAAACAGAATCAATAATCCTGTAAATACCTAAAGGGAAGCCACCAGGCATCACTGTCATCGGTCGAGATCTTAAGAGAGCTACGGTCTGCCTGGAAGGATACAGTTCGCTTGTATCCTTATTGGGATAATAACTTAATTGATTTGTCTCAGTGGCTAAGGATGTAGACAAGAGATTTATTATGGAGAAAAAATATCCGCAATCCTGTTTTTGTTTTCTCAACAAGCATCTTGCCACTGACCTCTAAATCAGTTTAACCTTTTCTAAACAGACCTGCACATTTTTTAGATAATTTAAAGCTAGGTTTTGTTTTTGCTGCTGTTGAAAGGCTCTGTGAGATTTATCACAACATGGCTTCAGTAACCTTCTTTTAAAAACAAAGATGAAAAACAAAACAAAAGACCTCAACTATAAGCTCTCAGCTCCATTCCTTTTACCGGCAGGGGATTGTGATCTAACCACTGAAGTGGCTTTGGAGTTCAATCTGTTAAAAAATGTATGAAAGGGTATGAAAATAGGAAAGAGCATGTGTATGACTCAGGCATATCCAAGTATCTTCTGCAACTAGGATGTCACAGGATTTCCCTGTGCTATTGAAAACCTTGAGAAAGTGACAGTAGAAGTTCCTGTTTCTTTTTCTTTTTTCTTTAAATGAGGGGGGCGCGCGCGAACACACACACACACACACACACACACACACACACACAGACACACACACACACACAGACACACGTCTTCCGGGTTTCCTGCGAATCAGACAGGTTCTCTGAGGTTCCAAGCGAAGACTGCACACCAGCGTCACGACTTATTACCGTACTCCGCTACACACAAAGGTTTCGGGAAAAACCCAAACTTGTTGCAGCGCTGGGCGAAGACCCCAGCCCCGCGCGCCACTGCCCCTCATCGCCTCTCCGCCCCTGCCCCTACCCCTTCCTCCACTTCCCACCCTGCCCAACCCAAGCAGCGGGGGCGAGGGCATCTCCCCGGCTCAGGTCGCCGGCCAAGCCGTCCCCGCCGGCCGCCTTCCTGGGAAACAAGGTCACCGCCCAGCCGGTCCCTCCGAGGAGGCGCGGAGCCCCCGGGCGCGGCCGTCTTTGTAACGCGGGGCTCGCCGGCCTCGGCGCAGCATCCTGGCCGCCGCCTCACCTGCTTGCGATAGGGCGTCCTGCAGTTGCTGCTGCCCCCGGGGTTGCCGCTGCTGCTGGGGAAGATCATCGCTGCGGGCGGCGGGCGCGGGCGCGGGCGCGGGGCAGCCTCGCCGCGAGGGGGAGGGCGCAAGGAGGGGGCCGGCCGGGCCCGGGGCCGCGGCAGCTCTGGGAACTCCCTCTCGCCGCGCGGCGGCGGCCGGCGGGGGCTGCAGCTCCGCGCTTACTTCCCCTCCGCCCTCGACCTCCGCACTCGCCTAAAAGTGCGGCGCGGCGGCGGGCGAGACTCGAGCAGCTCGGGCGGCCGCCGCCCTGCGTGCCATGGACGGGAGTTCGCGCGCAGAGCTGGCGGCGTCGCCGACTCTCCCGGCGGCAGCGGAGGAGCAGCGCCGCCGCGTCCCCACCTACCGCGGCCTCAACCACCGCCCCGAGAGCGCGCCGGCCGGGGGCGGGGAGGCGGCCGCGCACCGCCTCGCGCCGCGCCCAGGCCCACCCGCGCCTCCCCGCCCGCCCGCTGGGCGCGGCGCCTACCGCCCCACTGCCTGCCCGGACCCCGCGCTCTCCCTCTCGAGCTCGGGGCCGGGGCCGGGGCCGGGCGGCCCAGGGTGCCGCCGGCGCCCCCGCTCTGGTGCAATGGTTGGGTCTGGCTCCCCGCATGCCGCACATTCCTCGGAGTAGCCATCCCCCCTCCTCTGTTCTTTTTCCCCCCGCAGTTCTTTCCTAAGCCGCAGCGGCAGCTTTGCACCCCGGCTGGAAGACCTTTTGAAGGGCGTCGCCTCGGGGACCACTCTGGCACCTGGGTCTTCCCTCTCTTCTTCACGTTTCAAACTAGGCCTCCGGCACCACTCTCCAAGAAAAGGTGCTGACAGTCACCCCTACTTTGACTAACACACGAACCTCCCGTCAAAGCTCTGCAAATCTCCATCCCCCCCATTCACACGCTAAAATTTTAGCAGAGAAAACAGGTATCCACTCCCCAACCCCTCAACCAAATACGATCGGTAAAGTTTTGTTTTATCCCTAAGCCAGAGTTTACCAGCTTTCCTTCAGGATGACAATATCAAGGAGTGAAAATCATTTAAGGCCATCGGTTTGGTAAACCTTTCTCCTTCCTGAAAACTGGAACAGTGTAATCCTTCCTTATGTTAATTATTAGATGCGACACAAATGTGTTCTAAGGACACAGACACTCGGCAAAAAAAAAAAAAAAAAAAAAAAAAGACAAAGGGAGGAGGGACTTTCCTTTGTTTCCCGATGTAAATGACCTAAGGCTGCTCAAGCTGCCCCTGCTCTGGACCACCTTTCCGTGGACGAATGAAGCCCTGAACCTGGGCAGTGCAGGCCTCCACGGCAGCCCGGACTGGCAGAACCTGCCGTCTCTGGATAAGCCACTGGGACGGGCTTGCCATCCTTCAAATTGGCCTGTTCCACAGTTACTATTAGAGAATATTATCGCTGCAGTAAACATTACAGAGTTCTTCCTTGGTTTCTGATCTCTTAATACCTTCCTGGAAAGGCTCATCTGCCATGATAATGAAAAATCCTAACTTGTCTAAAAAGTGAAGGCATATAACTTCTGGCTTCCCTAAGGAAAACAGTGTCCCCTATGGAAATGAAGTCTTCTGGCAAAGCTGTGGCCATTCAAAGGCTTTTCTGGCCACAAAGAATTGGAAAAATATTCATCCTAGATATCCTGCTGGTGACTCAGTGAACAGTGAACCTCTTCCACTCAGGCTCTTCCAACATTCTCCAGCCAGATAACTGGAAAGCCTCAGCTATTATAAATAACCGTATAAAATACACATGTAATTCCTAATTCTTTTCATAAAAAAAAAAAAAAAAAAAGCAAAGTAACTTATTCTGGGCACAATACTAGGTGCACAATGGACGAGTAAGAACTTGCCAGACAAAATTCACAGTAAAAATCTGTCCTTTAAAGTGATTAAATATTAAACACAGTATAATGGCCATTCATTGAAAGTTAGTATATCTGCTGGAACTATTTTCTGCTACTCCATGGATAAGACAACTGTTTTGACTGCCCTTTTGCAATCTCCTCTCACTAGGACCCTTTACTGAAAGTTATCAAGCACAAGTATAAAATAGAGGAGATTCATCAGAATGTTCAAGTCATAGGTGCCTTTCCCTGAGAACTTACTGCTCAACACCCCAGCAGCTCAGACCTGTGCATCTCTGCATCTATTTAAAAAATTCCATATACAATCTCAGTTGTCAAGAGTGGTCTCTTAGGAAACCACAATGTAAACCACAAAAGAACAGCATAGATTAATTTTTCTATGGCTGTAATCTAAGGTCATGATATTTTGGACACTGTGCTATCCAGAATGCTAAAATTTGATTGGATACACTCTGCAGTAGTTTTGCAATGATAAAAGTTTTTAAGTGATAATAAAATTTACATTAGAACACTAAAAGAATTCTAATACTAAATATTAAAATATACTAAGAATACTAAAAGAATACTAAAAAGACTCTAAGACTAGAAAAGGATGTCTAAAAGCCAACAAAATGTACGTTCTGTAATGGTGAATGACATAAAAGGAGAGAATATAAGGCGTATTTGTTTAAAAAAACAATGTTCAACAGGGTTCAAAAGTTCCAAACTTAAGTAGGTGCTGTGTTCTTAAGTAAGTAAAGCATTACAGAGAGATAAGATAGATTGTCTACCCTCAACAAAATATAAAATGTAATGAAGTCACTCAAACCCCAAGAATGGAATGTAAGAAAAATAACATAACTATGAGACCCTGTGCATAACATACACACTCAGTTATAGATTATTCATAAGTGCTTAGTTTTAAGAGTGATTATAGAGATAGATCCTGGTGAGGTTCATCTGAAAAATTTCCTCAACCTTTGAAACAAATACGTTCTAAGACAGAGAAAGTAAGAAAACAGTCCAGAGAGACTGCAAGTTATCATGGTAAGAACAGGGCTTTGGAACCTGTCCTGGAGATGCTCATCCTCTTTAAAGGGAAACGGACTTTGCTGCCTGGGCTGTCCTGTCTTCCTCCCTCACCTCACTCAGCTGGTAGGAAAAGAAGCTGTGGGAATCTGATCTAAGGGCAACCAATCCACAGGCAGGCCAGTGACCTATGACCTGGCTGGGATTGAAAAAATGAGCAGGGCCAATCCAATTCTCACCCTTGGGGATTTGATTCAGAAAACTCCAATGGCTGAACCAGTTACTAAAAGGGCAGAAACTGCAAGAGTGCCAGGGGGTAGAGTTGAGGCCACAATAAGCCAAAACCATATGCAAGCCGAGGTTATGAGGAAGCAGAAACTATGAGTAAACAGGAAGCTGACTGGCAGCAGGCAGACAGTAGGGCACGCCAGGAGTGGGTGAGCACTTGGCAGTGAAATGATGGAGGGGGCTGCTGTCCCTACAGCTGCTTTGGCTCCTAAGACTTACAACAGCCCCTCCACATGTGGACTTCAAACACCCCTCTTCAGAGAGCTTAAAGGAATCTGTACTTTGCAATCCAAGGAACAGAATTAAAGCAGAGTCAAGCAGATCTGGCTCCATATTTCGGCTTCCCACTTGTGCTCTGGGCAAGTCTGCTAACCTCTCTGAGTGCCAGACTCCTCACAGAAGTGTCTTCAGTACAGTACATGGACAAAAGTGCCAAATTCAATAAATGGCAGTCGTTGTTATTGTTTTTCCAGGTTTTATCATGGTGGTGTATAGATTTAAATGGTTACACCGTGCAAATAACTGATGCTGAACATCAAAAAACAGGAGCAAGGGTACGATAGGAATTGACGTCAAACAAATTTAGACAAAGGGAAGTCACTTTTTAAAAAAAACTGTTAAATGGCTGAATGAATATGCTTTCTAAGGTTGTGTATACTGCAGATTTAACTTTAAAAGGTTTAAAAAATGCCTGGAAAAAGGTCGGTTTCAAGAGCGTAGGTGCACTGAAGTTTTTCTTCATCTGTTTTTGTCCAATTTCCTTTAAAGAAGTTATATATTGGAACAGAGCCATTTTTGTATGAATATGAAGACTGTGAGCAGTATCAGAGATCACTCTCATAAGCCAGGAGTTGTATACCAACTAGGACAATAAGGATGGAGCCACCAGTACGTGCAGAAGCCTGCAAACTAGTATAGCAGATGACACACATAGGTAATAATGCCTTCTGCCACTTAAAAGAGCTTGGATACCTGAAATTTGAGAATCTGAATTTGAAAGACATTTGTTCCAAAGCAACAATTTTAAAATGAGACTTTCATTTTTAAGCTTTTCACCTCTCATTTAACTTTCACAACAACCTTTGAGGTTGGAAGGGTTATAAGCCTCAAAGTACAGATGAAAGAAAAAAAGTTAAGACTGGGTGACCAATCCATCCACAAATCTGGTAAGCAAATAGCAAACTAGGGCTTAAAATCTAGACCTACCTAGGGTTAAAAGATTTACTAAGTCTTGTGCTCTCTCAAACTCTGTAATGCTGCATTTAAAAAAAAAAGCCTCATAGATAATGCTTCGATTCTTAGGTGAGTACTTATAAACCATAGAGCACCCAAATTGCTTGCTATACACTAATAATGCAAGGCATTAAGTGATAAGTGCCAGGCAAGTGGTCTAGACAATCGTGTGCTATGGGAGTCCACAGCAGGGAGAGATCAATACAGGATATAACATGGGCGTGGGAAGCTCAGCTGTATAAATGTTTTGTTTGAGGGATACCCAGAAAGAAATATTGTGCACATGATCAGAAAAACAGAACTACAGATAGAAGGCTTGCATGAGAGAGAATGCAGACTTGGGATAATCACTGCTGAAATAACTGCTAATTGATGGACTTCCTGAAAGGGGCAGGTGAGGAGTCCTAGGGGGCCCATCACCCTAATACACCTATTACCAAGCCCCACATAAGAGTAAGCTTTGAATGAAATTACTACAAAGAAAGTATGGTGGTGACGCTAAGCTTTGAAAGAAGAAAAAAAAAAATGGGGGCAGAGAAGATGTCCAATGAGATAAGAATAGAACACCTCTATCAAGAAAATAACTGACCTACACGCAGGTTCTAACCCTCTATTGCTGCTGAACCATTTCAAACACCCATTTTTATTTGGGTCAAATTGCAAGGTGAAAGGAATTAAGAAGAAAAATTCATTCAACACTAGATCAGACTGCAACCTTGAACGCATAACATATAGCCACACAGTATAGTTTAGTATAAGCAGTTCACACTAAAAAAACGATTTACATTTGACAGTCTATGTATAAAAGCTCACAAAGCCTCTGGCTCCCAGCAAAACAGAAGGAAAAAAAAGAAGAAGAAAAAATATGGGGTCAGCAGATTCTTTAAATTTCTGTTCTTTCCTCGTACAAAACAGGGCTGATAAAGTACCCTATTTCTAAAGTAGCAGCAACATTTTCTATTATTTACTGTTTTGCTTTTTAAAAAAATCTGCAATTCTTATTCCAGACTTAAAGGCTCCCTAGACATGTATAAAAGTACATGTGTATAAAACTGAAAGCACTGTAATAAAATAAAACTATAGCTATAATCCTAGAAGGTATAGAGAACAATATAAACATAGCCATATTCTGATGAGTCCCACCAGAAGCCATAGTCTGATTATTCTGTCCTGGTTAACAAAACAGAATAAATGAGTTTTGTCCCACTGTTGCTTCTTTGCATGTAGTATTAAATAATAATAGCTGTCATTTATTGAGTAACTACTCTATTCCAGGCACTTTCTAAGCACATTACACACACACACAAACAGAAGAATGACTATCCCATTTTACCAAAGAGAAAACTGAGTAATTTGCCCAAAGTCACAGATCCAATACGTAGTAGAGTTGGGGTTTGATCTTGAATCTCTTTAACTCCAAAGTCCCCTGTCTCCAATATTATTACTAATGGTTATTATTACTATTAACTATAGATCAAGTCCAAGCCCCATAGGGAAAAACGTACATGGTATTAAAGAGCCAAAGCTCGGGCATCAGAGCACCTGACCCTGAATCTTGGCTTCACCATTTACCATCTGTGTGACATTCGGCAAGGCACTTATCCCTCTAGAAGTCTCCATCTGCTCATTTATAAAAGCATATGAAATTACATTAAATTTCCATTCCGCCGAATATAAATGCAAACTTTCCAATATTCAAATATCTCGTGAATAGCACAGGTATATATTCAGCCGCAACCTAGCACCTAACTCTCAGTTCACTAATGGTTGCTAAGGTGTAACTCCTCTCTTTAAACCAGTTTTATTTTCTGGAATCACTGGCGGGACAGAGTTGGGAGAGAAGCAGAGAAATTTATGCTCTGGGATATTGTAGGATATTGTAAATTTATCTTCTGGGATATAGCTGAGATGGTGGTTAGGTGAAACTAATTTCCAGAATCCTGAAACTGGAACTAAGTTTTATTTTCCCTCAAAAAAGGGTGAGAGACCATATTAGAGATTAGCTATGTTATGAAATTCATAGATGCTTATTTTAGGTCAACTAAAATCCTAATCGCCATGTATGGCATTTCTCTTTATGGAGAAACATCCCCTGCAAATTTGAAACAAATAACTTACAAATATTTTTGGATCTAATCTGCTCATAAATTAGTTATTGCTCTACTCTTGCATAATAGATAATAAAAATTCAAAGCTGACCGCAATTTTTGGCATAAGGTTCTCTATAAGTTTCTGTCCCATGTTTTTCTATGAAAAAAATGGTTTAGTTAGCTAGCCCAACTAACCTGGGAGGTTGAGGCTGCAGTGAGCTGAGATCTCACCACTGCACTCCAGCCTGGGCAACAGAGCAAGACCCTATCTCGAAAAAAACAATCTATAAAAACAGGTACATGGATTTATATATCCTTTTTCAAAAATCCAACATCTGAATAAAAGGCTATTTAAATTAAAAATTCACGATTTTGCTTTGGTTTAAACAACAGTGAATTTGTAGCTATATATCAAATTCCATAGCAAAATAAGTAAACTACTTGGGATACCAAGACAAATAGAAGGTCCATTTTTCATATATTGTGAATTGCTGTTTTCCTAAATTGACTGGGCGATGTCTCAATTTTCTGTATTCTGATTGTGAAAATCTAGTACTGGAGCTGTTATTCTCCATGCCTATTATAAGCCTATAAAAATATAAGTGCTTATTTTCAGAATATTTCAAGATAATTAAATGAATTTTCCATGAATTATAGTAAAACTCATAAATTAAGACAGAAAGATATTACTAGGTAATCTCTGAAATTACAGTAGTAGAGTGGATCTTGGGTCTCTCTGACTCGGAAGGGATGGAAGTAACATAATTATGTATGTGAGCAAACTGTGGGTAAAAGACAAGAGCTAAGGTAAGGACAGAAGGAACAGGTGTGCTGGGAAAATTTCTAATCACATCCACCTCTTGCTATAGGACCTGGAAAGAGACAGAAAGTACTTAGGAAAAAAAAAAGTGTGGAAAACTGGAGCCAAAATCTTTAAATCATGGGAAACAAAATTAATTCAAACCTGGAATGATCATTTCATTGACATGAGTAAAAATCTAACTTTAATAGCAAATTGTACCGGGGAAAAACAAAACCCTCAGATAAGCTAAGAATGGCAAAAGGTTATTTAATAAGAAATTCCTAATTATCTATAGGGAGAGGGTGCATAACCAATGTCTATCCAAAACCTAGGATAGATAGCACAAGTAAGGTTTTAAAGCATTCAAAACACTGAAGGAAAGAAACAGTACATTTCCTTTCTCTTCAGTTGCTAAAATTACCATTAAATTAGGTCTATTTCACTTGAAGAGGAGGATGCTAGAATAATTAATGACGTCCTTTATGTAAATGACAATGCTGAAAAGCCTTTCATTCTCCACTGAATTATAAAGGTTCAAACAAGAAGATATAGAATTACAAGTGAATTTCTATTTAGTTGAATATGTATGAAGGCAAACTTTCCAACATCAGGATATACAGTTAAGGGTACTGAAATAGGATATTCCAAGGAGCTAATAAAAATTCCCCCCCCCCCGAGTGTCTTTAAGAATGACTAGTTTTGGGTTATCAAGTACACTTAACACATCGGGTGAACTGATGACAGACCTGTGGCAAACTGATACTCACCAAGCGAAGACAAGGCAAATGAGGAAATTCCAATGCTGCCATGACAATGTGACTGATGGTGACATCAGTGATTCCTAATTCCAAACTGAAAAGAACACTCCCAGAACGCTGACAACATATTAGATACACCCAGAACCACCCTTCCTTCATCTCCCAATCTAATGTTTGATTTAGTGGCAAATAAAATGTTTCAAACAAGGCATTATTATTAAGTGTTAAAATCTGGTTAGACTCTTTTAAAACTGGAAAAAGTGCCAGACGGAAGAAGTAGATAACTTCTGAAGACATTTCCATTTTTCAGAGCTATTTACATTTTTCACACCTATAGACGTAATGAATTTATAAAAATGTTACAATTTATAAAATGCTTTATAATGCATTA